GGACAATCCTTAGAAAAGCCGCAGGGTTCAAAGCTTGTGCAAAAAGTAGCGGCTTATAGCCCGACAATTACGGTAAATATTTAAATATGTGTTGAACTTGTCGAACTTGTGGATTATAATATAATTTAACATTATAATGTGGCTGTAAGCAGATAAGCTGTTTCATGCTCACCTATAAGTAGTAGTGATGCTTCAAAATACGTAAAATGATGACCTCAGAGAAGCTGTTCGTTTGCTCTAAATGACAATTTAAATGTACAATGTTTATGATATAAGGACTTAAAGTTTAAAAATGCGAGGTGTTCAAACACTGAGCACAGACTGAATATAAAAGATGGACGTAGCAGCCGTGACATTTAACTTTGGCTCTTGGCTTCATATACTCATGAAAGTCTGCATCTTCCTGCTTTCAGGCCTACTCGTACACCAGAGAGCAGATTATTGAGATGATGGAGTTTCTCATCGAGTGCGGGCCTCCTCAGCTCCACTGGGAGCCGGTCGAGGTCTTCTACAAGTTGGCCTGTGTCCCCTTAATGCTGCAGCTCATATCTACAGCCTGCGACTGGAGGACTTACTTTGGCAGGTAACCCTCACGCACATACCTGCACGCTGCGAGCACTCGGTGGGAGTTTTTATGACACAGAAAGGAGTCGGTGGAAAAGCAGCTTTGCTTACTTTGTGTTTCTGTGTTGCTCTTGTCTTCGTACGCAGCACTGATGTGTAACTGGAGTCTTTTTCATTTTTTTTCACCAGGAGTGACACTGTGCGCTACGCTTTGGACATCCTCTCCATCCTGACGGTGGTTCCTAAAGTCCAGCTGGTCCTGGCAGAAACCGTAGAAGTTCAGGATGAAGCCAGGTCCCCCGTTTCCACTGTGGGTCAGTAAATCTGATCGTTTTCTCCTCTAGTGCTGCTAAAACTCTTCTGATTGTTTCCAGCTGCATGTAACATTGAAGGATTCAGGATTTGAAATGATCCTTATGAATCTTACACACAATCCAACTGTCTTCTGATTGGTTGCCACTCTCAAACAGAAAGCTTGGACAGAGGGTGGGTGTGGCTTCTGTGCTCACAGCTGATCGTTTTAGGGATGTCCTCCTGCTCATGGACATGATGCAGATCCAAGAGTAGATAAAACTGGGCGCTCGGAGCAGCCTGGCTTACTCGATCTCTAAACCTTAAAATTATTAACATTCATAAACATTCGTGTGACAGTAAATGAGGAAAAGCACAAACGCTCCACTGTAACTGAGAGATTTTGTTAACCTTGTTCTGCGCGTGACTCTCACCTGTGCTTCAGGTATGAGCATCATTCTGGGCGTGGCAGAGGGCGAGGTGTTTGTCAACGATGCTGAGATCCAGAAGTCTGCACTGCAAGTAAGGAGAAGCTTTAAATATGTTAATGAGATTCTCCCGACTTTGATAACCTCCAGAAAAAGGGTTTGCCCAGAAATGTGCAGATTGCAGGTTAACAGCACATGAG